AATGCCGTCCACACAGGCTTCCCAACCAGAAAGATGCGCTTCTCTTCCCCCTGCCCGACCACGAGCTTGTAGCGAGGCCAATCGTGCTCCAAAGACTCACGGAATTGGTCCCGGACGTACCGGAAGACGCGAGGGTCCCCGCTGACCGGTTCGACAGCGTCCAGGTACGACTCGTCCATCGTGGATATCGCGGCGACGGCCTTCGTTTGCTGCCGAGTGTTGCGGGCCGGCACATCAGGTTTTGGGGGTGGCGTCGAAACGTCATACGGAGTAGGTGTCGCATCGACGGGAGCGCCCTCATCGTGCGACATGTCGGAATCGTTTTTCTCCGCGAACGCGTCCATAAGTCGATACGCCCTCGAGCCCTTCTTCAGTAGCGTCGCAGTAGGATCCAGGCCTTGCTCCTCGTCACTGAGAGAATCGAACCATGCGAGGAATGAGAGCAGCAGCCTGGGGTTCTGCGCATAGTTCTCCTTCTTCGTAACGATGATCCCAGAGTGGTCGAAGCGCATCAACCGAAACTCAGGACCGATGACGAAGAGACCAAAGATGCAGATGCGATGTTGGTATTCGTGCACGACGCGGGCGTAGTCGAGAATCTGATTGCGCACCGCTGTCCGACTTTGCGCATCCGCCTCGGGAGCACTCGAGTCGTCGTCGTCAAACGGGTCAAGGCTCGTCCCTTGTCTCTTGAACTCGATGAACAACCGGATGTGGGTCCAGTCGGGATTCCCTTCCGTGGGAGTGTGCTCCTGCGGATAGATGCCGGCGTCGACCTTGGCTGTACATCCGTCGCTCGAAGATTTGTTGCCCGTGAAGGCTGCACTGTGCTTTTTAAGGAGGCCTATATGGTCCTTGGCGTTGAGCATATCGATCTGTATAACAGGTCAGCTGGAGGAGGCTGTCACAACTGAGGACGACTTACGAATGTCTTTGCGATAGCATCCTCGGTGGGGGAAGCATCGCGGAAGAGTCTTTGAAAAGTCCATTTGGCATGGTCAATCGGCCCTTTGAGATCTAGATCCTCCCCCCAGCTCTGTTCGACCCGGAGTACGTCCTTCTCGAACGTGTCGAAGTCGACGAGGATGGTGTGGCCCATGCTGGAGGCGCCGAGGAGCGGTCGGTCGATGGCTGCGTTGGGTTTCAGGCTAGTCCCGTGCTTCCGGGTGTCGTAGTTCGAAAGCTTTCCAAATTTATGAGGACTTGTCTGTATGTGCGCAGACGGTGCAATGAAAGGAAGGCCGCTCGCTGGAAGAATGGGAAGTTCGTTGTTAACATGATGAGCCATGTCGGAGTTGGGGAGAGAGAAAGGTGCAGACCTTGGCTAAGTTGCGCTCGTTATATAGACGCGTAGATGACTGGTAGCTAAGATGTGGCCGACGAGGAGTGTGGCTAAAGAACCGCCCGGATGCTGCTCGAGGAGACTTCACCCTAGAACTTGACACGACTGAATAGGGCGATATTGAATCCCCGATTACAGAGCAACTATGCAATAAAGATATTTGAATGTCAGCCTCGAGAACAAAGGTGCTTTGGATGGTGGCAGTGAACAATGGTGGATCGAGCAAGGCGTGGTCCGGCGTCGTGAATGATGGGGAGAGTCAAAGGGTGGGCGTCTGCGAACCACACGACTCTGGTTCAATTGCCAAAACGGGTTGACCATCATCGGCGCTTGCAACGGCACTCCTGCTCTCAAGCTGGTTCGCCTCACAGCGTCACATTCCACTTCGCCCGCCATCATTGATGCATATTGAATACGGTACGGCCACGCGATAGCTTCACTATAGATGCGACTCATGATTGTGACCCAGATTCTCACTTTATCTTGCGTAAGGCGTAATCGTCTGCAGAGCGGTAACTGGTACATCTCACCTTTTCACCCGCTCCCAGCGTGAACACTGGGTTGCTGAAGACTCGGATTGAGCAACACGATATCGACCCTAGTATAGCTTACGGAGAGCTGGATATTTTTGGTGGCTTTGTGCCGGAGCGTCCGTCGAGGCGGAACATTCCCCACCCTTTCAAAAGACATCGCCCCAATCAGCTCACGCCGAGTACGCGGCGACCACAGACTAACATTCTAAACATACAAACTCAAAATGACAATACAACAAATGGTAATGTAAGTAGCCAGCCAGCTTGCGAGTCGATATACAGCCATACAGTCTTAGAGCGTCCTCTTCAGCTGGTCACGGAGCTTCCTATCGAATTCTCGATATCTCAGCTTCGTCTCCTTGATGTTCGCCGCCTTCGCGATTGCCGCCCCTGCCTCGCTCCCCAAGATCTGCATCGACTTCATCTGCGACGCATGCTCGCGCTGGCGACGGCGGATATTCTTCCGACGCAGGGAGCTCGTGACGCTTCCAGTGATGCTGAGGCTGCCAGGCGAGCTGTCCGACAGCCATGACTTGGCCGACCGGGGAGTCCTAGGGGATCTTTGCCAGCTTGCGGAACTCCTTCGAGTCTTCGCGCTCCATGCGCTCGCGCCTGGGGTAGTGGGCGTCGATGAGCATCCACCTCTGTGCGGTGTCTTCGGCGCCTGCGCCTCTGCGCCGCCGCTACCACTCGCTGCATTGCTCGCATGCTCGGGAGCCTCCGCAAGCTCGCCTCCCTTCCAGTCCATCGCATTTTCATCATCAAAAGGATCATGGACATCTCCCTCCGTGGCCACGCTTCCGACCGTCCCGCGCACCGCCCGCTTGCGCCTCTGAAGCCTCTGAAAGAGCGCACCGATCTTTCTGCGCGCCTTTCCGGGGGCGCGTTGCTTTCCCTTCGTCGGGGAGCCGTTGCGAACCAGCGGAGCGTCTTCGTCCTCGCCTTCGTCCTGGGTCGGGGACTCGCGAAGTGACATAGTGTCGATGTTTAGGTAAGACAGAGACGCTCGGCGTCCGTGGCCTGTCATGCTCGCTTGCTGCTTCTCCCATTGGGTGTCCCACTCTCGAAAATCGGGCGACTGCATATCGCAGTCAACGTCTTCGTCAGTCACGGTGATATCTGGATGGACCGCATGCGGGAGTGGCTCGGGAAGTTCGTCTTCGTGCTCGTTGAAGCCATTGTATTGTTCAAGAGCAGAATGGTACGAGAAGGACAGCGGTGAAGAGGACATGACGTATGCGATTACCGTAGCGGGGCGTCCTGCGCCGATTGGGAGAGGTATTAGTGTGTGGGGGGAGTGGAGGTTCGCTCATCAAGTCTCTGCAGCTTCTCCTTTTATATGGATACATGCATAGAGCTGAAAGGATACTTGGTGCAAGGGTCTTTCTTTGTCCTTGTCCATTCACCATCAGTGGCGGGTGGCGAGGATGAAGCACTCTTCCCGCGAACGGTGCCAATGTATGATGAGTACGAGCATGCGATCTTGCCACCTCACTAAAAGCATTCATCAACTGTCGGTGATATCTTGAATGTCTGGTTGATTCAGACCTTTTGTAAGGAGTCAAGCACCGCGATGGCACCATCGTGCCACGGTGCCACGGCAGATTCGAGCAGAACGGGCGTGGTGACACGATCACGTGACCTCGCTTCTAGCAATTCTCTCAACGCCCCTCTCAGGAGTCCGAGTCAGGTTTTCTTGTACGAGCTCGCACTCCTAGGCACGTCGTCTGTTCTCGTACCTCGCCGTTATCACAAGGTATTGGATACGTGACCATTCATGCTCTCCAGGCTCACCAGACGACGTCAACTCTCGCATTCGTTCTTGCTTTCTACCCGCTTGTTCTGTCTGTTCCTAGTATTACTCATATATGAACTCTCCTGTCTTTACCCGGCCAGATGGTTCTCGAAATACGACTTTCACCTGCTCAAGCTCGCGTTGCCCGGAGTTATTGTGTTTACGATGCCCCTCCAACTCGGGCTCGCTGTCCCACAGCAAGCAAGTCCGAGTCGAAAGCTATGGAGTCTCGCACCTACTATGCGTACATCAATACTGTGCTGCGTTTGAATCTCCGTGAACACAAATGGTCCAATGCGGACGAGAGTGCAAGCACTCCAGAGAATCAAGAAAACGTTTGCCAATTACATGGGTCGGTCAATTGTCCACAGGATTCAGTCGAAGCCCCAGAACTCCGGCTGCCAGAGCTCTGTCATGCAGCATGCCGACGCCAGCGGCCACACCAACTTTAGATCGTTCCTGGGCAACGATCGTCCCCACTATTCAATGAACAGCTCTCAGACACAGCAGTGGTACTCGGAAAGGTTACCTGATAGTCTAAAGGGTGTGTCGCGTCGCGTGTCGTTCCCTCCACGTCGCTGGCAAGGAGACCTGGCCATGGCCTCGCTCAGCGATGTATAAAAACCCTTCCTCCGTTGGTCTCACCGCTCGCTAGCATCTTCAAATTCTTCGCTTCCTTCACCATATGAGCCAGCACCGTGAAATCGTCCCCAAAGACCCATCTTTCCACCCGCCTATCAAAGGAGCATACATTGCCAACAACCCGACTAAGTACGTATACTCCCCGTCCAGGTCCTATCACTCACCGCACCCAGTGCCGTATCCTTCCTAGAACAGTCATGGACGCATCTCAGTTCACCTCGGCCAATGACCGATTCCAGTCCCTCGCTCCTAAATCCCCTGCGATAGCACAGCCGCAGCAGCACACGGCCCCGCTTGATGCGGCTTAGGACTGTAATGGCTCTGTTATCGCGAGCGGCAGCCCGTCCAGACCAACCCGCACACCGACCCTGACGTCGATGAGGAGGTCTCCGAATCTCGTCTGCTCCCGAGTTTGAAGAAACAGCAATGGGCGAGCTCCGTCCCCGAGCGCCCCCGCTCATCCCGGACTAGTACTCTTGCAGCCATCCAGAGCCATCCTCGAGCCCCGGATTTCCGGCCATGTTCGTCCGCACCAAACGGGTCCTCACCGACGTCGAACGCGCCAATAATATCGCTGTCAAATGCTCAAGTTTGATCACGCCAACCACTCGCGCGGCTCTCGTTGTACAAACAGTATACTGAGGCTGCGAACTAATCATGCAAGCCATAAAAGGGTGATAAAAAGGTTTGCCACATACCTGGATCGAACAAGTGACCTCCCCATTTCTCACGTAAGCAGGCTGAGAGCCCCTACGTGGTACAAGTGGGGCGCGCATACCACTACGCCAATGCGGCAGTGGCTGCCAGGAGCCAAGAAACTTATTGAGTCACAGCATAAAATTACACTTGCTCGTTGCGTGATACACGCTTGAAGTTGTGATCATGATTCTCGGCCTGGCTGGAGAGATTCTAGCTCGACCTTAGTATAATTACCACCAACAGGGATTTGTGCGCAAGAGCGGTGCCGCAACAGAACAGCTCGGTAGCCCCGCTCACAATCATACAGTTTGTGTTATACAGGGAACGGTCGCAATCAAGCACTCAAAACCTGTGGCTCAGATGATAAGGTAACATACCTACAGGGGCACTGTGGCTGCATTGCAACAAGCTCATCGCAGAACCGCCCGTGATCTCGACCTCCCTAGAACGGCATCTAATACAAATGGTCAGCTGGTCCGTAGGTGTCAGTCGACGTGCTCCATGCCGCGCCCTCGCCGCCTGGTCTTTCTCAGGCCAAGGCTATTCTAGCCTCTGCTCCAGAGGGGTCTCTGCCCGGTCCATCTCCTCCACGCGCGCCCATCGTTCGATTCACTGGGGTGCGCTCTTGACTACATAACGACCCCGGTCCAGCACCTTCGTCTTCCGCACAACCACCCTCGGTCTCACCCACTTCAAACTAGACGAGCTTCAGTCTCCTCGCACCCCCGTACCTCTCTCGATTCTCAACTTTCTGAACTTCGAGTTCCTTCGACATGTCGCCGCTCGCTAGGACTTCGCCGGCTTCCCTCCGTCTCGCGCTCAGACGCACCCCTAAGCAAGTGCGCGGATTCGGACTCCATCCCCTCAAGGAGCACGCCGCCCACCACGTACGTTCCCTGCGTGGTTCAGGCACCACCACGAGATTGATGCTCATTTCCGCCCGCAACCCCAGAACATGCCCTTCACTTACGACAACCGGCGCAAGTTCGCGGTGCGCTACGCCGGAGCGGCGGCCACCTTCTTCGCCATTCCCTTCGTCGCCGTGGCCTACCAGCTGTAAGTTGTCTCCGCTGCCCATCGCTGGAGACGAAACGCCGGAGCTGATGTAGATCGACCATGTCAGGCGCAAGTCTGGTGGCGCGGCTTGAAGAGTTCGTCTCAGAATATTGCGAGTGTACGCTAAGAAATAGGCCGAGGGTTTGAACTCTGGGGCCGTGGAGTGGACTTGGAACTTTGACTTGTTTGTATCATATCTCCTTCCTCAACGCAATACAGCACGACGTTTGCCTGGATGGGTGGTCTTACCTTGCCTTGCTTGTGCGTCAGTACTCGGCGCTCGCTTCTGTGTCGCCTCTTCCGCCATTGGCGAATCATATTGCACCGATTACGGTCGCTGATTGTTGAACACCTCTCCGTACGCGTGTCGAGGAAGGCTAGGCCCTGGTAAGTCCCTAGGCTAACACCATAGCTTCGAAGGCAAGTACGACATTACCCGTCTAGGGCAATCGCGAGGGTGAATCGTCCTCGTTGACCTTGGACTATTGGACTTGTCCTTCCGCAAGTACCTGATGATCTTCGCAGACGGGGGGTAGCCTGAGATCGTAACATAAGTGAATGGCGCTCCCTTTCTGTGTCCCATCTTAGAACGTGGCGAGGCGCGTGCTCTGCATTCTGCGGCCGGTCGCAATGCAACAGACCTTGTCTTGCATTAACCCCATTGACCGGGTGTTCCTGATACAACGGACACCGCTGCGCGTTGATTCCTCGCACAGTTCACAACGTAAGCAGCACCCTCCGTGATGTAGTTCTCCCGGAGAAGCTGATAAAACTACGAATGTGCTGGTGCAAGGTTCAACTCACAGTGGGTCTCATACGGTACACTGCATACCACCATAGCTCGTTCCTGCGGAGCCACATCGACTAGTAGCCACTGGTGTCCCTGGTGCCTCGTACACTGCCTGAAATCATATCCAATGTAATTCAGGTACTCACGACGAGAAGAAACATACGAAATAGCGCTCAAGCCTGCTTCCGGCGGGGAATGCTCGTCCTTGCTGCGCCGCTGCGCGGAGGATGCGGGAAGGGGAATAAGAGACCGGAGTTTCCAAAATTGGGCATGAACGATACCACCGGAAACTGCCGCGGGCCCTCGGGTGCAAGCAGCGCGCTTATCTCCGTCTCCGTCTCCAGTCTCCATCTCCTCCCCGTCCTCCCTCTCCATCCTCATTTCTCACATCGTACCTATCGAGCTCGTATCATGCTATCGGGGCCCTTTGGGAAGACTATCCATACGACTGCCTTGATATACGCGTCGTTGAGACAATGAACTCGACTGCTAAGTGGGTATACAGTGACGGATGACTTCATGCACCGCATGGTACCACGGACCGCCGCTAGTCACTTGCGAGTCGCTGCCACGCGAGAGTCTCCCTAGTAGTGTCAAGCAACATATGCTCTATCACGGAACCCGGATCGATCTTCTCCGGGGTTACTTGGTCAGAGTACCCTCTCTTTCGCAGTGCCAGCTTCCAGCTTCCGCCGCCGCCGTGGTCGATTGAACACTGTGCGACATCTTCCTCGGCCTCCGACCGGTGAAGTTCGACCTGTCTCAGCTATCGCTTGCTTCTGAAGATTAAGAACAAGCCGAGCGTATGGACCATTCACAGCAGTGGTCGCAGTATGGAGAGATAAGTGTTCATGCTTATTCTGCGCATCACTCACGGCCTACCATTCTAGCTGACGTGGGGCCACGAACATGTGCTTGGAGGCTTCATGAGTTCCCCTCATGGAGTCTGTCCTACCGCTGAGTGACTTGGACCAGGGACTCGCTTTGTCAGCAACATTTACCCGGTTGGAGCTCTCTTTCTGTCCTCGCGCGAGTCTCTCCGGCACTGTAGTGCGATCCAACATACGCATGCTTCACTATGGCATTCGCATCGATGGCCTCCGGGGTTACTTGGGCAGAGCACCCTCTAAATCCGCGTCCGATGCTACCACGCGCTCGATGGCGAGCCCACCGGTATCACGAGATGCTGCCCACTCCGAACGTGTCCACGCTGAAGGCAGTCTTCTTTCCTCGTGCATGGTGCTGATCAGTACAGGAAGCGACCTTCGTGATCACGCTCATTCCGTAAACATATGGATGTTTGTCTCACCTGCCCCGGCGTGCTGACTTGTTGCGATCGCTTCTCACAACACAGCGGAGTGCGGAGGAGCGTCTCTGACCCTCGGCGTTTCAAGCTGAATACGATAGAGGTCAGACGAAGATCGAAAGAAGGTTTGGCAAGTGTATGTCGTACAACAATCTCACCCCGGTGCCTTTAACCACTGAACTTCCTGTATCCAGCGGAGTTGGTCGCGCCATCGACACGCAGCTATTCCAGCGCCGGTGGCTGTAGCCTGAACCACTGTACATTTCAGGCAACTTGATATCGTGGTGTGGCGCTCTCCACCGAGAATGGATCGACTGGGATATTCTGCGCGCTCCAACACGTTCCCTTCGTTGGCCCTGCGGAGGTCGCTAAGACGACGGCGCTCGGACAGCCCTGCAGCTGAGCAAAAACGAGGCGTGCAAATCATTCCCTCTGGCCAGTCAGACGACGCGCAGCATCTGGTGTAGCTCCACGGACGCCCTCAGATGACTCGCGGCCTAGCTGGTGTACTTCTGGTCGAACGCTATTCTCATGTGCGCCCGCGGAAAATTCTTGGGGTCATATCGACGTGCCCGGTATCGAGCATATGCCCGCAACGCGTCTCCGGAGACTTTAGGTCCTGTCCGAGGGGGGTTATCGATAGCCGCGGAAGCAAAGCACATTGTCCCGTCCCCTCGTCGCCTACCGCATATGTCGCCTCCACCCAATGTTCAGCCCCGTTCTGGACCGTCCGGGGGAGGTGCTTTCCATTTTGTCTTCTGTTCAAGATATCTCCCGTATGGTTTGCGGTGTCACGCCGAGCTCCCACCCGCGCTGGCGATGGGTCTAGCACCATGTGCCTTGCTTCGCGTGAGGTACCATGAGATGCTTCCGCTGCTATCCACTCTCGTGCGATAGCAATCCCGACCAGGGACGGCGTCGGCTCCGCACGCTGCGCGCAGCGTGATCCTCGCCGGCGTCACTCTTTTCCAAGTCTGTTGCGGAGGGCTCGGGGCGTATAAAGATGGACGCGAACATGACTCTCTTTGTTGTGAGCTGCATCCCTCCTACCTCCTCGAGGCCTTCCAGCTCGCACAGCAGTACTGCTCTTCTCATCTGCTCCGGCTCCCGCACCACCATGTTCGCCTCGCGCACCTTCTTGACCTTGGCGTGCCTCGTCGCCTCCGTGTTTGGCGCGACCTACTCGCAGACCGACAGCCACCAGGGCAGCGGCTTCCTCAAGTCGTTCACCCACCAAGCCATCGCGGACCCCACCCATGGCAGAGTGTAAAATCTTGTCCTCGATCACCTCCCAGGACCTCGGCGTTGCTGACCTCGGTCTGATCCGGCAGGAACTACGTCGATCAGGCTACCGCGCTCGCCCAGAATCTCACGTACTATTCTGGGGACCATTTCATCATCCGCGCAGACGACAAGACGGTGCTGAGCGCCAGCGGACCCGGACGCAACTCTGTTCGTCTGCAGAGCAACAAGCAGTACACCACGCACGTCACCGTGTAAGCATGGATCCTCCCCGCAGCGCTCGTCATAGGAACTCACGCTGCCTTCTCGACCAGATGGAACGTCCGTCACATGCCACAGGGATGCTCGTGAGTGCTCAACGGCACTTTTCCGTCAATAGAGCCCTGTTTGACATATCTCTACAGGACGTGGCCCGCGCTGTGGGAGGTCGGCGCGGATTGGCCCAACCAAGGTCGGTTCCGAGTCTCACGCGAAGCCTTCGGAAGCCCGTGATTCTGACTTCTGCTGCTTCTCCCGTCTCCGCACAGGCGAAATCGACGTGCTCGAGGGTGTCAATGACCAGACTCCGAACCAGTCCACTCTCCACACCAGCTCTGGTGAGCACCCCGACAACTTGTGTCGCTATTTTCGTGCTAACCCCGGATATGACGCCAGGCTGCACGATGCCTGCGTCGCGCTCGCAGACCGGGTAAGTTGTGCCGC